TGGTGCTGTGCTGGAAGATGCTGCAGCACTATGCCGGGACCCTGCTGGGAGCCATGAGGCTGTTGTGAGCTCATACATTGCTCTGGAAAACATATCTTGTGCCTATCAGCACATCTGCCAAAGCTGATTCTTTGACTGATTTAAGAAAAGGGGTCAGACTGAGGAATAATGATATGAATGAGTCATGTATAGGAGCCAGGCTTTTCGGCAGACTGAATTAAACCTGGATTTCAGCACATAAGTAAATATATTGTGAGTTCCCATTACAGAATGGGAAGACTCAAACAGTATGGCCGGGGTCCTGGCTTTCCCATCACCAGAGGGAGGACAGCTAAGCTGCACTAGGGATGACACAGTTGCAGCCTTTAGGCTTGGCATGCTGTGTGGCATGACGTTATACAAATTCAAGTGTCTACTCAAGTGGGACACGCTGAAGGAAGATGTTATTCCTGTGATCTATCAACGACCCTGCAAATCAACCATTTGGTTGAACAGCAACTCAATTCTTGAACTGGGTAATTCTGTGTGAATTGATGACCACCTCCTTTTGCAACAACATCGTAGTGCCACCAGGGAACACAGTCCCCTCTGTCGGTGTGTGAGCACTTCACAGCGGGTCTGAAGCAGCATCTGGGTCCTTTAGCAAATAACAATCCCAGAGGACGCTGCTGCAAGGGCTGAGGTTGCCTCTGTTTTACCCAAGGTAAGAGCCCTGGATGTGCAGACAGGACCTGTGAGACCAGCTCTGAAGACAGTGCTGGACCTGAGAGACTATGCTGAAGAGCCCAAAGCCCAGCAGTTTTCCCAGCAGCAGGATCCCATGCTATCCCCCTTGCCATATTGTCAAAATACAGGGCAAAAGCCATGCCAGGCCAAGTGTTAAGAACAAAAGTAACTTTTGAAAGGAGGGATTTAAGACTGAATCTCCTCCTCCGTCCCTTACCTGTGTTGTGTGAGGACATTGACCGCTGACGGGTGGTTACCACAGTACGTCAGGTACAGGGAGCGGAACTGGGGCATCAGGTTCATGAAACAGCCTCCGACGCGCTGCTGGTTCTCGGGGAGCCTGCAGACCCCAACACACCAGCCACAGCATTAAGCCTCTTGATCTGTACCCTGCAGCTATGGCACCCTCACGCATCTGCCCAGGAGCCACCCGCTGACATTCCCAGGTCATTGTGTGACTGCAGCACCCAGCAAATCTCTGACACCTGCCACTCAGGGAGGGGGAAGAAGGAGGTCCTCAGGTGGGTCTGGATTTCTGTGGTGCAAACAGCGAGTATCACAACCCATCATCAGCCTGGGACAAGGTGCGACCCAGCCTGTCCTGTCCCACCAGCAGAGCTGCAGCTGGGATGCTGAACCCCACTGTGGCTGATGAGGATGTGCAGGGCTGGTCCCACTGCCTGGGCTGCCCATGAAGGTGGGAAAGGAGACGGAAAGAGAAAGAGAAGCCACAGCCTGAATACATTTCTGATATTCCGTCTGTTCCCCATCTCTTTTCAGCCCTTCCAAAGGAGAGGCTGGGCTAGGGATGAACACATCTGCCAGCCTCCCTGCAGGAGATTATCACCTCTAATAATTTGCTCTTTGCTCCCTGGCAATTCCCATCTTCATGCCTGCCAGATCTCCCACCCTGCATGTGCCTGCATCTTTGGTCCAGGAACACTTTCCTGTCAGGTCCAGTGACAGTCATTCAGCAGATGCCTTAATAGTAGAAATGTCAGAGCTTCTTCTACCTTCTCTCCTGCCAAAGCACTACCTGCTGCCTTTCTTCAATCCTGTTATTTTCTTCTATATTTAACAAGTCTAAGATAGCAGCCAGGAGTAACATTAATGAACGCATCTTTCTACTGTTTCCAGCTGCAGTTTAACAGCTTGACAACCCCAGTGCTATGGCATGAGCTTACTTTGCAGCTTCTTCCAAGGCTTGGTTCAGTGTTTGCTGAAATGCAGAGATTTCTTCCACATTTCCCAGCAATGATGCAATGTCCACGGCGCTGAGCCTAAGAGAGTCAAATCGCCAATTAGTATCAAAGGGACGTAGCTCTCAGGAGCACCCCCACGGTATTTGGAAGCAGTCCTTCCAAAAAGACCCAAGAATTTCTCATTCCCCAGAAATGCCATCAGACATGGGAAAACACAAAATCCAAAATACAGAGCACAGCTTCCCAGAGAAGATGCCTGCTGCCAAGGATTATCTTAATTGGATTTTAATCACTTAATCACACTAATCTTCTCAGATGTTTAGCTGTCTAATAGACACAGACAGATGGGATTTCAGCCAGGGGTGGGGAGGGAGGTGTGTGCACAGACACAGAGACTGCTTTGTCTCCAGGGATTCATGCTGTGGGTTTCCCCACAGGAGGAGGGTCCTACAGAGCAGCCCCTCGGGTAGGGGTTGCTTTGTTCTGTGAGCCAGGTTGGATTTTTCCTAGCCAAAGCTAACGTGTCTGCTTCTGTCACCCTCAGAGTCACTCTCATGCCACCTTCATTGAAGCCATTTGTCACCCACGAGGCTGAGAGCATGAGAAATTTTCACAGCTGAATATATCCCACGTGAAGATTTGGGGAAGGGCAGAGAGATTTAAATATAAAGGCCTTAAGACTCTCCCATCCCTCTGGACTGGATGATGTCTAAACATCTGCCCTCCACCCATGATGACCCAGGACCACCTGGTCCTCCCGCAGTGTGCGTGGCTGGAGGGACCCCAGTCCCAAACGCAGCTGCATGGACAGAGTCGCCGAGATGGCACCGTTTGGAAGAGACGACCATAGAGCTGAAGCAAGAAGCAGGAGGTGAAGTTAACTGCACCGGGTCTGTCATGCAGGGTGGAACTATGGCCAGGAACCTGCTGATGGGCACCAGCGCGCTGCCTGGGCAAGGACAGGACAGCCTGGGCTGCCTCTGCACCGTACCGGCCAGCACGGATGGAAAACATCGGCTGACTTCCACAGGGAAGCCCTGACAAAGCCCCCCAGTCGCCCCGGCGTAGCTCAGGCTGTAAGGGATGGCAGCATGCTCTTCCCGAGCACGGAGGGACTTCATGCCGATGGCTGCGCAGACGGGGAGGCAGGGGAGTCACTCCTGGCTCAGCAGCAGTTTGGGTTTAGCGAGGGGCAATCTGACTGCAGAGAATACATGTCAGCGTGCGCGAAATGAAGAGATGACGAGGGGATGCCGCTTGGGGCTGAGAAGTCGGAACAAGGCAAATGACAAGGGAAGAAGCCATGCAAGGCATACCGCCGGGAGACATGCATGCCGGGACAGCCACGCACGAGCTTGCGGGTGGGTTGCAGCAGCCAGCCCTCCACCAGATGGAAATGCCCATCTCCAGCACAGCCCAATGCCTGCACGACCACTGAGGAACGGGAAAGAGCAGGAACCAGGACAATGTGGGGTTTTTTTCTGATTCATAGAAGCTGTGAGGCTTTACAAGAAGAGCAGTAACAGTCCCTAAGCACTCAAAAGCAGGAAAGTAATGAGCTACGGCTGATTTTACAGGGTTCTCTCCACCTCAGATGCCTTTTGTATCTTACTTATCATAAGACTGGAGGGGTCTTAAGTAAGTTCCCAGAAGTGACTGTAGTTCCTTCGCATAATCTCGTTCTGTTTCCAGAATATTTTGCAACACCTAGGGTGAGAGACAGAGCACTGAGTAGGTCTTAGTACTAGTGACTAGTCAAAGGAACATGACATCAGCTTCCAAGTCTGGAAAAGCATGGAAGTGTATTTTAAGTGCATAAATCACATTTGTTAATGCAGAACCTAGAACACTCAAGAAAGCCCTGAGGGGTCCAGTTTGGGGATTTTACTTTGCAAACTGGGGGAGGCCTGGAAAGCAGGTGTTAAGGGCTGCTTCTTCTCTGGCATAGCATGAAGACAATGTCAGTTCAGACCTGAGTTTAGTATTTGACCCCCAAGAGCCTCATGCCTAACCCTGCACGCGATGTGCCTGCATCCCAGGAGCACCGATTGCACAAAGGGGGACAACAATTTAAATGCAACAGTGGCTGGACCAAGGGTGGCTCCTCCAGCAGCTCAAGCCAGGGCATAGCTCACTTGCCCCTTCAAGGATGTGCTGAGTTGGGTCTGGTCCTGTGAATCCACCTCAGCAGCCAATTTGTCTCCAGCAGCTGGGCAGGCAAACCCACTGCCCGCACGTTCCCAGTTAGTACTCAAGTTTCTCAGTGTGGATGAGCTTTGGAGACAGTGGAGGTGGTTCCCAGCTCTCTGGACATATTGTTTCTGCTTTGCTTTCCTTGAAATATATTTAGACATGCTGATGAGCACATTTCATCTCCGTCACTGAGCACCAGGGACGTTCACATGCAGACGTTCTAACTCTCTTACACCGAAGGGTTTGCTGAAGCCTGGATGCAGCAGTAAGATACCTGCCACCCTTGCCAGACCTCACCATTCCAGTAGCAAGATGGTAGAGAAGGTGATGTTTCTGCACCCCTTCTGCAGCCGCAGCTCGTAGCCTGGCAGGCTGACCTGCCCAAAGCCAGGGCCAGTTAACAAGCCAGGCTCTGAGCTGCGGCAGCTGATGCTTCTCCAAGGGCTGCAGCTGCTGGCAGAGGCACAGGGCAGGCAGCTCGGGGTAACATCTCCAGCCAAACCCAGGAAAGGGATCATGGGCCAGAGCCCTGATTCGGCTTGCTTCATGCCATTGATATTATCTCCTCATCTTCATCAACAGGAGACATCCAGCCAATGGCAAGGACTGGACCAGAGACATCGCCCCTTACTCCCCAACACTGATGTCAAAGCTGCCACCTCTGCTATATTATCTCAGTTGCCTACTTTGAGTCTCTTTTTTTGACATCTTGCAGCAACTTCCATTTGTGGTTTATTGTCTCGACAGCCTTTAATCAAGGAAATGGCAACAGCTGTATTTAAATACAGAGTCACATCCCCAATTGTTACAAATTGCTTCAATGGTTTCTAAGGGAAGGAGCCAGTTCAGAAGATTAATAATATGCTACTTATTAAAATGTATGATCAGCAGTTTAAAACTTACCACAGGGTAATAATTCTTTGTCAGCTGAGTGCTTTCAAGTCCTTTTAATGCTTTGGGAGAGAGTGGTTTATCTGTACAAAAAAATACATCAATAAATTACAGTGCGCAGCGCTCATTATTCCAGAAAACATAACTTCACCCCCGCGAACACAAAACTTCAGCTGCAGAGCTTGTTTGCCTGTTTCAGAAAAACTAGGGGAAAAACTCGGAACGAGCACGACACCGAAGGCAGCCAGCAGCACCGCGCAGCCTCTGCCAGCGAACTTACAGGTTTGCTCCGAAATCCCTGGCAGCAGCCCAGTGTCTGGCACTGAGCTACTGTGTGGCTTCACCCGGCCCACAAAATTTGAGTTTTAAAACCAGGTGTCTATCAGAAATGCTGGCTACAGCATTTTGTTCCAGCTGATTCACAAGGCAATTGAAGCTGACACCAATCAACCCTGGTCCCTGCAGTCATTTGTGACACAAAATCCTTTTCTGAATGAAGGTAGATCCAAACAAAAAGCTCCCACAAACCTGGAAGTCAATTCTCATCTTCTTCTGCATTTGCTAAATCCCTGCGGATGCCTCCAGTGTGGTACACATCTGCACATACGCACAAGCCCCTGCTCCACTCTCCTTCCCTGGAGAAGCCCGTTCCCTGCCAGCAGCACAGCTTTGCCAGCTCTCCCAGCACCGCCACCCTTCTGGACTGGGACAGGCTGTACCGCCAGCCCTGGCCACGCTGCGCACCGCGGACCGAAACACCTCCGTGCCGTGCGGAGCAGCCAGTCTCGGCTTCCTCCCCTCAATCCCTCCTGGAAGGCAATTACTGTCACACCGATAGCAGGGGAGAAGCTTGAAATTGATAAATTTAGCCCCTGGAAACCGCAGCTTGATGTGTTGTCTCATTAATAATGAGGGGGGTAATGGGTATAAGCTGAAAGAGAGTAAATTTAAATAAGACATTAGGAAGAATTTTTTTCCTGTGCGGGTGGTGAGGCAGTGGCCCAGGTTGCCCAGAGAAGCTGTGGATGCCCCATCCCTGGAGGGGTTCAAGGCCAGGCTGGATGAGGCTTTGAGCAACCTGGGCTAGTGGGAGGTGTCCCTGTCCATGGCAGGGGGTTGGAACTGGATGATCTTTAAGGTCCCTTCCAACCCAAACCATTCTGTGATTCTATGATTATTGCCCTTGTAGAGTCTCCGGTCACTCGCAGGCAGGAGCTCAGTGCCTCATTTAAAGACTCAGAGGAGCTTTGCTCCGTGCAGCCAGTTATTTCCACCCAAAGGGCACGGTCAGGACACAGTGGAAGTACAGACACCGCTGAAAACCAAGTAACTCCATGTGGAGCGACACGTGAGGAAAGCAGCACCCGCTGGGTGGCAGCGAGGGCTTCCCCCAGGGACAGCCCCCAGGCAGCGGTCCTGGGGCAGGAGAGGGTGAGCTGATGGTCCCCGCATCCATCATTTGCAACACGGCCACATGCCCTAAGCAAGCAGAGACCAGGGGATGAACCCTCCTCCCATGTGAAATGGGTGATGGAGAGAGGATCCAGAGGGAAAAGCTCTGCAGATAAGAAAACTTCTGGGCTCCTAGATCAGGATCAATGGAAGACTCGCCCTTTGCTTCAATGAGGTGCTGGTATTTCAGGCAGCTCCCAACTGATTCTCCCCATAGGACTGAAGTTTGCTCTCCTTTTTAAAAAATATTTCTCTTCCACGCACTGACATAATTAGTGATTCCTGGGTTGTGCCAGACAAGACTTCAGTCTCTGCTGCAACCTCCCGCTCCAGCTCAGACATCATTTCCCAGAGGGAAATAGGGGAAGATGAGATATCCTAACAATGATTTTCTCATTTAGAATTAAACAAAAACTGTCCTAATTTTGAACACCTACTCATTAATTTTACTCTTCCCTCCTTTTTTATTCTTCCCTCCTTTGCTTTTTTGTTCACAAGTGTGGGAGCAGGGATGTCTAACAGGGGTTGAACATTTTGCAGCCACTTGGCAGACCACTGCTGATGTCTCATGGTGTTTGAGGTCAGGGCTGATCCTGAGCCATAAAACCAGTACTGAGCAAACAACAGGTCTCAACCAGGGTAAGCTCTCAAGGCACGTTAAGAAATTAAACTTGGATTTTGTAAAAGGACAAGTTCACTGTCACACAATGCCCTGGAAGCACAACGGGGTGAGCTACCTGAATGGATATGTAATGCTAGAGGGCAGTTAGCCAGGGGCATGCTTCATGTCATCATCACCCCAAATCTGGTTAAAATCACATAGCACAAATGTTAAGGACACTCAAGACAAAGCTCAATAAAGGCCGACATCATCAGATGGACCATTCCCTCCCTCTTACTTTCCCAGTATCGCCTGTAGCTTGGCAGCAGAAGATGCATCTGGGGGAAAATGTACTACGTGAAAGCAGCCATCGCTATGGACAAAACCAGGGCACCGTTCCCTGCAGCCGTATCGGTTTTGTTGCTTCCCTCGCCGAGACCATGAGCATCCACTCCACCGCTGCCAGAAATGGTAGAATCAAACTAAAATACATTGCCTGAGCGAGGTCTCTGACAAAAAGCTAAATCTGTGCTCAGACACTGGAATGAACAGGGAGCTCCGCAGGACAAAGGGGACGCACGCAGCCATCTCTAGCCTCGTCCTCCGGCAACATCCCTGCTCCTGCACTGCTGGGCCTTGGGGGAGCAATAGAAAGGCATGATGTGCTGGGCAAGAGGGTGAAGCAGCTCTTAAACAACTCATGAAAGACTAGGCTTTACCCCTCTGGCCTCACTCATCCTTCCATTAGACCTGCTGCTTTAAGCACACAGACGGTCTTTAATAAATAGCAGCAATTTCCCAAAGGCACAAGGATCTACGCTGCATTATACCGCTGTCATTCAATCAGCCCTTGAAAGCAATTTGCTTACCGGTAGATTTGATTTCTCTGACGTAGTTGCTTGGGAACCAGCCTGTTTTTCCATTCAAGGTCCCTTCCCACCAGCCCCCTTCTTCAACCCGGGTGACATAAATAATGTCTCCTTTGTTAACGGAGAGTTCATCCTCGTTGGTCTGCTTAAAATTGAACCTGGCCTTTACCACCAGCTGATGACTGCCATTCTCGGTCATCTCCTAAGGAAAGAAACATGGAAAAACATCAGTAAATAGTCCAAACAAGCAAAGCCGCTAGGTCAAGCCATTGTTCTGCTTTGTTGTGACAGCTGTTTTTTCAGTATTGCTCTTTACAACAGCAATAAGGTCTTGCTTTTGTGTAAGCGCTCCAGCCAGAGGACCACAAGGTCCCTCCCAAGCATTAATGTAGTATCACAGTGCAATGGATGGCAGATAAGAATCACTCTCCTCGTGTCACAGAGAGGAGCACAGCAGTTTGGAGAAGCCACGAGACTCTCTCCAGGCAGAGCAGCAAAGCCGTGATGGAGACCAGGGGAGAACAAGCCCCTCTGGTGTGCTCAACCCAGGGGTCCACTCATATCCCTCTACCCCCGCAGCCACCAAACCCTTGATGAGACGTTAAATAAAGGATACCACAGCCTTGGACTGCCTCCTTAACACCCTCGCCGACTGTGAAGCTGTGCTGCTGGAGTCAGCGTGGGGACCTCCGGCCGCAGAGCTAAGAGACGATAGATGTGAACATGGCCCTTTGGACGGCTGATCTGTTGAAGCAAAAACAACACCTGAGGTTTACCCAATGATCCATCATCCCTCTGCATCACAGCAAAGCAAAGAGTAAAAGGCCTGTAAAGAAAACAAGAACGGGGCACAACAGTTCAAGGAGCATCTATCAGAGCAAGGTAACACGTGTACTCCAGGTCAGCAGTGAGGATGCTTTTGCAGGTCTGAGTTAACCTGTCCACGATGGAACAAGCCGAATTGCATCCCAAGGCACTCGCACGTTGTGCCAGCTCTGCAGCCACGCATCCAATCGCAGTATTTTTTTTTTAAATTCCCCTTAAAACTGTAGAAAAATAAAATAATACTCAGGCCAATGCTGCCCAGCTGGGAATGTTTCTGGGATCCCAGTAAGCACTGCTGAAGGTGTTTCAAAGTGTAGCTCACAAGTGAGCACTCTTAGGTCACCTCTGCAGCTGCAGCGTGGGCTGTCCGGCCGAGTGGGGAAGAACACTGAACAGCTGGTCAACACAATCGCTCCTCTATTTAGACAAGTCCTTCTGGGTTCATTATACAGCTGAAAGAGGCTAGGCACAATTTTAATTCCTGTTCGTGGACTGCTGCCATTAGCCATGTGAGAGAGGGACTCAGACCGCGCTGAGGGAGGACAGGAGTGTCACTCCCAGGAGACAAACAGCCCACGGAAAGGCTCAGATCATCCCAACAGCTCTTGGAGTTGCCTCCTTCACACGCTCGAAGCTCCTCACTTTGCAAACTAGTCCCTGGGCTTGTTCCTGCCACCACCTGCCTGCTGCTGGAAATACTGCTGCTGCTCTGACACGTACCTGGTTTTCATTCTTAGTGATTTGTTTCTATATTAATAGTGAAAAACTTGCCAGAGTGTAAAACATTTCCTGGTCACGACTACCTTGTGCTGTGATTGTGTCGGTAGCCTTGGCACTAAGAGGAGCCCCAGCAGGACCTGGCAGGGCTCAGCCCCAGAATCCTGCTTGGATGCCACAGAGAAGTAAAAACATGGGATTCAAGGCACCCGGTAATTCCCAGTGCTTTTCTGGTGCTGTACCTCACACCACACCGTGGGACGACACTCAGGTCACCTCCTTTCCATGTGCCACGGTGCTCAAACGAAGCGAGGGCAGACATTATCATTTCAGTAAACTCTGAAGTACTTTCGAGATTTGCCTTGTAGCTTCTCTGCAGATTTAAGCACATCTCTGTATCCCAGAGCTTCTGTTTTCCACCTGCAGTGTGGACCTAGCATGCCCATGGACCTCAAAAGGATAGAGAAGAGCAGTCCACTGTCTGCCCGCATCACTTTGCTGGGTGTGCAAGTCCCCCAGATAACTTTTGGAGTTCTTCTTTGCAAACTCTGCGAGAGGAGAGGGTGCTCAAGCCACTGAGTGTGTGCAGGAATCAGAAAACACCAACTCTAAGGCTGCTGTTCCCCCATTCTCCTCCAGTCTGAATGTCAACATGGAAAAATCATTCCGAAGGGGAAGTTTGGTGGGAGTTACAGGAACTCAGCTGGGCTTCTATTCTCCCCAGAGGATTTTTGTTTCAATAGGAAAACACCTCATCCTTAGACTGGACCTGGAGCAACACAAACTGAGAGCTCCTGCAGAACAGACTCGCTTTGTTTTTCTCCAGCTCACTGCACAATGGGGACCAGGTCTGCGACTACGACTTCCAGGCGCCGATGCCTTGCAAACCCCCAACCAAACCATGCCCATGCACCAGTCGGCCCAGTCCACGCTCCAGCGATGGACAACATTCCCAGTAAATCTAGCATGCTGTCAGTGAGTCAGTTTTCTCTCTTGCCTGCTCGTTACACAACCGCCTGATGACCACAGGGTGAATTCCCACCTCCCTGGGCTGCAGCAACAGCAAAACCCCACTTTGCAAACACAAAATGTTTTTTTTTTTTTCTGAAGCATCCTGATATTTGAGCAGGAGTGGTTTCAGCTGCTCCCGGCGACTCACGGGCCAGGAGGGGTGGCCAACTGCCAGCGTGAGATGTTCTTCCTCTGATTCCTTCTAAAAAGGGAGGGCGTAAACCGCGAGTCCAGACTTCTCTGCTTATTCAAGCCATCAGCAACCGTCCCACGGAAATGACTCGGTTACTGTAGATTTTATGCTTCTCCCTGCCCCTCCCAATCTTCCAAAGCTTTTATAAATATCTGCAGCAACCTAGAAACAAATGTAAAACTGACTTTGACAGTTTGGCAGGGAAGCATATCATTTATATTGCATCATGACAGCGTCCTATTTTATGCCTGGTCCAGCATGGAACAGTGCTGCCATATGTTGCTTAAACTCTGGTTAAAATAGCTGGGTTTTCTGCTCACATTCCTACACTATTTTTGGCAGATGAGCCTCATCTGATCCAGCACAGCTGGTTTTCCTCCCCTGCCCTCTCTTTCAGATAAAAGCATCAAGCTCTGTACTGCTGTTATTCGATGGACAGCTGCTGAACTCTGAGTCTATGTGCCACAAGCAATGCCTAGAGTTATTTCCATAACAAGATCCACAAAGACACCAGGATTTGGACTCAGATGGATGCTCAGAAACACATTCCCCCAGCATTTCCTTAGCTGTCACCTACTTTCCTCTGCCTCCGACAAGGGCGCCGGGATGCAGCAGCTCTGCGGTGTCGGGATGCGCAGGCATGCCGGAGCCTGGCCATAGCAGGAGCTCCAGTAGCCGGTCCCAGCCTTGTCCTGAGGCTCCAGTCGGCCCTTGGCCTCTGGCGCGACAGACAAACTGGGCCATCTGCAGTGGCGGTTTGTAGGACACAGGCTCTTGCTTCTCAGGAACTTGGCCAAGCCACCAAAAAGCAAACATTTTAGACATGTATTTATTTTACCCTGTACTTTTCCCAAGGGTGCTCTCTGCCTGAGCAGCTAATTATATCACAGGCATTGCGCTTTTTAACATTTAAACAGAAAAAGCATATGCTCAAACAGATATTTGCCATGAAACCAAGAAGATCCCAGCTTCCATATAGCCCTGTCGGTAAGGTGTGAGAGAAACTATCCCACAGCAAAGCCCCGTCCCGAGCCTCACCCAGCGACTGCACGGACTGAGCTGGGACACGAGCAGCTGCAAGGACCACATTGGGGCTGTAAATAAGGTGACTGCCGTGACAAGGGCACTTATCATCCCATCGCCACGTACCCCATCCAATGCCCCCAGTCCAGCAATGGGCAAGCACAGAGGCAGGAAAGTTTCTTCTCATTTTTTTTGCTTTCAGAATAATGAAGCTAATGTCAATCACAGAATCACAGAACAGTTTGGGTTGGAAGGGACCTTAAAGACCATCAAGTTCCACCCCCCTGCCATGGGCAGGGACACCTCCCACTAGCCCAGGTTGCTCAAAGCCTCATCCAGCCTGGCCCTGAACCCCTCCAGGGATGGGGCATCCACAGCTTCTTGGGCAATCACAATGACAGCGTTTGCAAAGGCTACTCCCGGTCCAGGTAACCTGCATCTTATATCCCCCATCATACTGCACTGCAAGAGCTTTCTACACGGGTTCACCAAGGGCTATCATTTAATGGAGCGGTAAGAGGCTGTAAGGAGATGTGCTGATCCTGAATTACCATCAGTGACTTCTAGGGAGTGAGGTGGCGGCAGAGCTGAGAGCTGGCTGCAGAAAGGCAGTCTGAAAACCTGAATTTCTTCAGAGCAGCACTATACGCACATAGGTGTGTGTGCATACACATATATATTATTATATGCAATAAATTATTAA